CTTTATTACTATCCTACTAGCTTCTTAACCGCTTGAACGAGAAGCACGATTGGCCTCTAGTAAAGATCTCCTACGTAAGGCATGGGCAAGAGCCCTTCTAGCAGCAATCCTTGATTGAAGTGAAGGAATAAAGCCAAAAGCTCTAGTCCCATCTCTTTCTGTTATGGAATTGGATAGTGACTCATATGAAATAGCAGCGGATTCAATAGCATCGGCGAGAGAGAGAATTCCTATTGAGTTAGCTTTCCTGGGGAGTCTCCTAAAATGAAAATATGTATGTCCGAATCGATCTCAACGGATCCCTCGTTACTGCCCAGAGGAGAATAATAGGTAGGGATGAAAGGATTTTAACCCGTTCCATTTTTTACCCACGCTACCAAGCTGCGCTACATCCCTTTCCCCTCTCTATTCCCAAGTCAAGGGTGAGTCCCATGCGTCAGTTTGTGGATCGCGGTCTCACACACCAATCCCTTCTTTATATAAGAAGAGCGCATCCAATGTTTAAGTGGGAGAAAAAATGTCCTGATTGGGATTTTGAATAAGACGCCGAAGATGCACGGGGCTAAGCGATCTGCCGAAGCTGTGGGATGTCAAAATACATCGGTAGGGGCAGGCTGCAACTCGCCTGCATGAAGCCGGAATCGCTATCTCTCCGACTACGGATCCCATACTACCCCACATAAACTTAAAATCCATAACCCCTATTGCTACAGTAATACTGTTGACTTGGCCTAGACCTGTTTGAACAGCTTCGGTTAAGCCTGTTTCTATTTGATGGCCTATCTTTGCTCAATGGATACAATCCGCTCACGGTAAAACGTCCTACGGTTTCGATCTACTTTTGTCTTCAACAACTGGTCCAGCATTTCATGCATGGCGAAGTATCTGGTTGCCAGGTTGGTTAAATGCTGTTAATGATAGCAGTAATTCATTATTCTTAACAATAGGTCCCGGAGACTTTTTAGTTCAGTGAGATCTTTCCAACGAGATATTAAACGCTTTCAATGGCACAAAATAGAGCAAGATATGATCGCATCAAATTCTACACGAGTTCAGAGTGAAATCAGAAACATTTGTGAATATATGGTTAATCTGTAACTTTTAATTAATGCATTGTAAATGAAGTTGGAACAATAGCTTTCGAGCCCCGATCTATCTTTCCAACGAGATATAATACGCTCCAAATGGATAAACACACAGAAAGATATGAGTGTCACAAATACTTAGCCTTATCTCCATGATTTAGCGTTTTCAGTGAAAATAGAGCACTTTTAGCGTAAATACAGTGTATTTTAGTAATTAGGCAATGATCCATTGATATTTTGAAACCAACGCCTGAAGACAAGTTTTAGAACTATGCTAGGATGCTCATTGAAGTGGATGCTTCCAAACCACCCCCTCTTCGTCTCAAGATCAAGATGCCAAATGATAAATTTCATATCCAAAAGGTCATTTACGAGACTTTTCCTAATTATTGCTTCCAGTGTAAGGCTTATGGGCACCATGCCTTTACATGTAAGACCATTGCCGAGCTGGAACAAAAGGAAAGAGAGGAGAAAATGAAAACCATGGAGGAAGGGTTCGGCCAACCACCTTTGGCCCAAACAAATGCGAAGACCGATGGAAGGCACATGGAGGGGGGATCTTCTAAAGGTACTAGGGGGGCTCCACCTTCGGTGCCCAAGGCCAAGGCTCCCATAGCCACGGCCAAAGACAAGGGGCAATCTTCTAAAGCCGCGGCATCCACCAAAGCCGCGGACTCTAACACTTATGCCGCGGCATTACACAAGGGCAAAGACTTGGGCAACAAGAACGGGACTCCAAAGCCGAACAACCTAAGGAAGGAATACCATCCTTTTCTTTTGATAAAAAGATGTAAGAGGCTTAGAGTGGGTATTAAAAAGAAAGGGCCTGCTTTAGAGGAGGAGGAACTATCATCCGGGTATACAACTCAACAAGAAGAGGAAGATGTGGGCCCACGCAAAATTGGAGGTTTCAAAGATATTTATGATGATGAGGTCATTACTTCTATGGTTGTGGAAGAAGCCCGTGAACCACAAATTGAAGTCCAAAATATCAACAAACTTAAAGAACCCACCACTCGGCTTAACCATCACCTAAAGGTGGTTGGACCTAAAGCTCCCGGGGTGTGGTTCACTACGGCTTGTTTGGAGTCTTTAGAAGGGGTAAAGAGACAAAGAAAGTTCTACACATTCTCGGCTGCCTTCATGACAAATGTCTATAGACTTTTTCTTGATAGATACTTCGAGGATGGCACTCTAATGGGTAATGGCAGCAAGGTCTTGGGCACACGGAAAATAAACACAAATGTAACCCGTGTGGTTGATGATATCCGAGAGGCCTATCTTGATGATGTGATCACCAAGATTGATTTTGAAGAAGATGGAGGCCATAGCATACACCTGGTCCCTGGGGGTGAAATCAAGGAAATGATGACTAGGCTTGATAACTACCTCTCAATTGATGGTTATGCTTCACGATGTGGACTCACCTTTACAAAATCATGCTTGGAATCTCTCCCGGGAGTCACACGTTCGGAGGATGGGTATGAGTTCTCCTCTCATTTTATTACTTTGGTTTATCCTTTGTTCATTAATAGGTACAAAGGCTGTGAGACATACCGAGAGTGGGTTCAAACACAAAGGGAAGTAAACCGGCTTGCTAGGAGAAAGGGGGTCACGGCCAAACACCCTTAATGATTTTAGCATCTTGGAATGTAAGGGGGCTTAATCAAGCCTCAAAACAAAATACTATTGCTAGCTTTGTAAGAGACAATAAGGTACGTATTTTTTGCTTACTAGAAACTAAAATGACTCCTACTACTTTTGATAGTTTTTTGAAGTTTCGGTTTAATACTTGGCACTCTATAACCAATTTTGACAAAATGAATGGGGGTCGTATGGCAATCATTTGGGACCCTAATTTTGTAGATGGTGTTATATTAGAGGTGGATAAACAACATGTTCATGCTAGGTTTACATGCAAAATTACACAAATGCCTTTCTATGTGACTTTTATTTATGCTCTTTACACAATTGTGCAAAGGAGGGAGCTTTGGGAACACCTAACCGTTTTGAGCACAAACACCCTTGCTCCTTGGGTGGTCTTGGGTGACTTTAATTGTGTAGGCTCTCCTAGTGAGAGGAGGGGGTCTGCCCCTCCCTCGGCCTATGCAATGAAGCACCTAAATGACATGAAGTTACAATCTACTCTTTTTTATGCTCCTTCGACCGGTGAGTTTTTTACATGGCATAGGGGAGCAATTTGGGCTAAATTGGATAGAGTACTTATCAATTCTTTATGGAATACACAAAATGTGGCATGTAGGGCTCATTTCTTTGAAATGGAATGTGAGTTTGATCATGTTGCATCTATGGTTACTATTGGGGCCGAGACCACAAAAAACTCTAAACCGTTCAAATTTTTTAACATGTGGTTGAAACATGAAAGGTTCCATTCGATCCTTGAGAGTGTTTGGAATAGGGAGGTTGTTGGTTCGGCTCAGTTTAGGCTCGCACGCAAACTGAAACTACTTAAACAACCCCTAAAACAACTCAATAAAGAGGAATTTAGCCACATTTCATCTAGGGCAAAGGTGTCTAAAAAGGAGTATAAGAGGATCTATCAATTAGCTCTCTTGTCTCCTTTAGATGAAGCCCTAAAAGAGGATCTTTTGAAAGCAAAAAAGAGGGCAATGTTTTTAAAAGAGGCCGAGGAAGCCTATGTCAAACAGAAGGCCAAGGCTGTCCACCTTTTACAATCGGATAAGTGTACTAAGTATTTCCATTCTATTGTTAAGAAAAAGAATGCTCAAAACTCTATTGCCTCCTTGAGATTGGAAGATGGGAGTCTTACCAAGTCCTTGGATCAGGTAGCAAACGAGTTCATTGACTTCTTCAAAGGTTTATTTGGTACTCATTTTCCTATGCATGATTATGACCCGGGGGTTATCTCCACTGGTTGCACCATTGACCAGACTCTTTCTTATGACCTTATTAGCCCTGTGACTGATAAGGAAATAAAGGAGGCTGTTTTTAACATTGGAAATGACAAGGCCCCCGGCCCTGATGGCTTTTCCTCAGCTTTTTTCAAGAATAATTGGAATTTAGTGGGCAAAGATGTGTGTGGGGCTGTGAGGGAATTTTTTGTCTCAGGGAAGATGCTTAAGCAGGTCAATCATACTGTTGTGTCCCTTATCCCTAAGACAAACCATTACCCCATGGTGTCTTATTTTAGGCCAATTTCTTGCACAAATGTCACTTATAAGGTTATTACTAAGATCTTATCTGCGCGTTTAGGGCCGTGTCTTGCTAGTATTATTAACCCAGCACAGGGAGCTTTTGTTGATGGAAGGTTGATGTCTGACAACATCTTCCTGGCACAAGAGTTAGTGAGGGGTTACACTAGAAAAAGGCCTTCTCCTAGATGTATGATTAAAATAGATCTTAGGAAAGCCTATGATACAGTTTCATGGGATTTTCTAGGTAAAGTCCTTTTTGATTTTGGTCTTCCAGTTTTGTTTGTTAAATGGATCATGGAGTGTGTCACAACCTCTTCCTTCTCTATCTCCATTAATGGTGCCCTTCATGGCTGGTTTGAGGGGAAGAGAGGACTTAGACAGGGTGATCCTATGTCCCCTTTGCTTTTTGTGATTTGCTTAGAGTACTTTTCGAGGCTAATGGAGATTAGGACCTCGGTTCCTAGTTTCCGTTATCATCCTTTGTGCTCCAAGCTTAAGATTACACACCTTGCATATGTAGATGATTTGATGATTTTCTCTAAGGCGTGTTATCCTTCTATTAAAATTTTAGTAGATACTCTATCTGAATTTGGACGTGTTTCAGGCCTCATGGTGAACTTAGATAAATCAAACATTTTCTTAGGGGGTAACGTGGAGAGTAGAGTACCCTATATTTTAGAAAGAGTAGGTTTTCAACTTGGCTCTTTTCCTGTCAGATATTTGGGTATCCCCCTTGCACCTTTAAACATATCTGTAGCTCAATTCGCTCCTTTGATTGATAAAGTTACAGATTACCTAAATGCTTGGAACCCGAAGACTCTTTCTTATGCAGGGAAAATTGAATTAATCACATCGGTTATGCAAGGAGTACAAGCTTTTTGGCTTGGGATTTTTCCTATGCCGAGGGCAATCATTGACAAAATAACTTCTCTTTGTAGGTTATTTCTTTGGGGAAGTAAGCACTCTAAAGTTGCTTGGTGTGATGTGTGTCTACCTAAGAGTGAGGGAGGTTTGGGGGTAAGAGATACTAAGGTATGGAATAATGCCTTACTATCTCGTACACTTTGGAACATCCATGCTAAACAAGTCTCCCTATGGGTGAAGTGGGTCCACGGAGTCTACCTCCAAGGGAGGTGTGTGTGGACCTTTGTTCCACACACGAAGGACTCGAGGCTTATGAAGGCGTTAGCTAATGTACGTGATTTGATTTTATCTAAATTCCCTTCTTTAGGGATGGCCGTGACTTTCTTAGAGAAGAGTTCCCTTCTTGGGAAGCTCTCTTCCTCTAAGGTTTATGAATTACTCTGAACCAAAGGGACCGCCCATCCATGGATGTCATTTATTTGGAAAAGCTACATTCCCCCCAAGTTCTCGTTCATTACTTGGCTAGCCTTCCGGGGTCGGTTAGCCACATATGACAGCTTGGGGTTTTTAGTTATCAATGATGCTTGTCTTTTTTGTAAGGGTGGCCCGGAAACGGTGCCACACCTATATTTCGAATGTACTTTTAAAGGACAGGTTTGGACCTTGGTGAAGAACTGGCTTGGAATTTCAAGGAGGATGAGCACATTGTTGAGTACAGCTAAATGGATAAAGAAAGAGCACAATGGATCCCACGCTAAAGCCAAAGGAGTTAGACTTGCTTTTTGCTACACCGTATATTGGATATGGCGTACAAGGAACATGATTTGCTTTGAGAAGATCAAACCTAAGGTGGAGGATTTGGTGAAGAATATTAAGTTCATGGTGTACAAAATTCTCTATGCTATGTATCCGTTTGATAGGATAACATTCTAAGTTTTGCCTTTTTTGCTGATTCGTCACCGGTTTTTTTGTGATGCCTAGCATGTATATGTAGCTAGATGAGGTTTTGCAAGGTGATAGGGTATCCTGTCCTGGGATGACCTTGTTTTTGATGTTTTGGGACTGTACAGTTGTACATAAACTCTTTGGATATATATATATTTACATTTTATCCAAAAAAATAGAACTCGGTATGATATTTCCAACGAGATATTAAACGCTTTGAACAGCACAAAATAGAGCAAGATATGATCGCATCAAATTCTACACGAGTTCGGAGTGAAATCAGAAACATTTGTGAATATATCGTTAATCTGTAACTTTTAATTAATGCATTTTAAATGAAGTTGGAACAATAGCTTTAGAGCTCCGATATATCTTTCCAACGAGATATAATACGCTCCAAACGGGTAAACACACAGCAAGATATGAGTGTCACAAATACTTAGCCTTATCCCTATGATTTTGCGTTTTCAGCGAAAATAGAGCACCTTTAGCGTAAATACAGTGTATTTTAGTAATTAGGCAATCATCCTTGATATTTTGAAACCAGCGCATGCAAACAAGTTTTAGAACTCGGTAAGATCTTTCCAACGAGATATTAAACAATTTCAACAACACAAAATAGGGCAAGATATGATCGCATCAAATTCTACACGAGTTCAGAGTGAAATCAGAAACATTTGTAATAATAATAATAAAATAACAATAATAATACCCCTAATAATAATAATAATAGTAATAATGATGATGATAATAATAATAATAATAATAATAGCAAAAATAATAATAGTAATAATAATAATAGTAATAATAATACTAGTAATAATAATAGTAATAATAATAATAGTAATAATAATAATAATAGTAATAATACTAATAATATTAGTAATAATAATATTAATAATAATAATAATAATAATAACAATAATAATAATAATAATAATAATAATAATAATAATAATATTAATAATAATAAATAATAATAATAATAATAATAATAATAATGATGATGATGATAATAATAATAATAATAATAATGATAATAATAATAATAATGATAATAATAATAATGATAATAATAATGATGATGATAATAATAATGATAATAATAATAACGATAATAATAACAATGATAATAATAACAATGATAATAATAACAATGATAATAATAACAATGATAATAATAACAATGATAATAATAACAATGATAATAATAACAATGATAATAATAACAATGATATTAATAACAATGATAATAATAACAATGATAATACTAATAATGATAATAATAATAATAATTAGGCAATTATCCCTTGATATTTTGAAACCAGCGCCTGACGACAAGTTTTAGAACTCAGTAAGATCTTTCCAACGAGATACTAAACGCTTTCAACGGCACAAAATAGAGCATGATATAATCGCATCAAATTCTACACGAGTTCAGAGTGAAATCAGAAACATTTGTGAATATATGGTTAACCTTCTTCAATGCCAACACATTGCCGGCGAAAGCGAAGAAAGCATACCACGAGGACAAGAGGGGAGCCACCTACTTCAGATACACAGGCTGATTAACTTACGGAAGAACACATCGATCTATCAAGGCGATTCTCGACGAAAACGCCTCCATCGATCTTTTCTCTCTCTCTATTGGTTCGTAACCCTACTAAAACGACCAACATTCTTCGGCCGCATTATGTTTCTGTCAGACGGGCCTCCAACTTGCAATAGGTATTGGTCCGGTCATGAGCTCAACATTAGATATGGGTTGTTCTCCTCTGAATTACATATCCCCTGTTTTTTTTATTGTAATCTTCAAGCGGGCTCTCTTTTGACCCTCGTAATCCTCACTTTTCTTCAATAAAAGTTTTCTTTAAGAAAAAAATCCATTGATATTTTGAAACCAGCGCCTAAAGAGAAGTTTTAGAAATCGGTAAGATCTTTCAAACGAGATATTAAACGCTTTCAACGGCACAAAATAGAGCAAGATATGATCGCACAAATTCTACACGAGTTCGGAGTGAAATCAGAAACATTTGTGAATATATGGTTAATCTGTAACTTTTAATTAATGCATTGTAAATGAAGTTGGAACAATAGCTTTAGATCTCCGATCTATCTTTCCAACGAGATATAATACGCTCCAAACGGATAGACACGCAGCAAGATATGAGTGTCACAAATACTTAGCCTTATCTCTATGATTTAGCGTTTTCAGCGAACATAGAGCACTTTTAGCGTAAATACAGTGTATGTTAGTAATTAGGCAATCATCCCTTCATAGTCTGAAACCAGAGCCTGAAGACAAGTTTTAGAACTCGGTAAGATCTTTCCAACGAGATATTAAACGCTTTCAACGGCACAAAATAGAGCATGATATGATCGCATCACATTCTACACGAGTTCGGAGTGAAATCAGAAACATTTGTGAATATATGGTTAATCTGTAACTTTTAATTAATGCATTGTAAATGAAGTTGGAACAATAGCTTTAAATCTCCGATCTATCTTTCCAACGAGATATAATACGCTCCAAACGGATAAACACACAGCAAGATATGAGTGTCACAAATACTTAGCCTTATCTCTAGGATGTAGCGTTTTCAGCGAAAATAGAGCACTTTTAGCGTAAATACAGTGTATTTTAGTAATTAGGCAATTATCCCTTGCTATTTTCAAACCCGCGCCTGAAGACAAGTTTTAGAACTCGGTAAGATCGGACTTTCCGTTGGACAAGTCGAGAGCTTCTCTCACTACGCTCCCTCGCGTAGCTAGCTTGTTCTTACGGAAATAGCTCATTTTCTACCGATTTGGAGCTTTATTCTTGTGTTCGGAGCTTGGATTTTGATTCTCCTACTTCACTTCTTCGGATTGGAAGCTGAAATCTACATCTCCAACTCATTTCCGAGCTCTTTGGTCATCTTTCTCGCAAATTCGTTCTCGGAGTTACTATTCACGCCAGGAAGGTCAACGCCTCTCCAGCTCGATTCTCTTGGCCAAATCTGGATTTGAAGCTTGTTCTAGCATCTCCTAACTCTGGAGATTAACTTTCTATACTTTCTTTCATCATCGGCCTCCGTTGACTTTTTGCTTCTTCTCCAACGGTCATCACCATTGGTACGGAAACGAGCTCAAATTAAGGTAACAACTTCTATGCTTCTACTCGGAGGGGTTGCTACCTCTTAGCTACCCCGTCGCCCTCCATGGGGGGCAAAAAGAAGAAGACTCCTTCCCGGCCCACAAAGTCTTCATCTCGGCTTAGAGCCATAGCTCATTCCCAAATGGTTGATAAAGCCGTGGACCATGTAGATGCGTCTGAAGTTTGTAATGAAGACATTGAGGTTACTAACCCCTCAATTGTTGCCTCGCAAAAGGATGACGGATTGGTCCTTGATGTTAATGCTACTCCAACTGATTTGCCCGTGACCTCTTCTAATGAGGATGATGCTACTCAAATTGATATGCCCGTGACCTCTTCTAATGAGGATGATGCTATTCCTAAAGCTACACAAGACAATGATGAACCTTCGCTTCATATTGAGGTAACTCCTAATGTAAATGATGTTCCCGTGACCTCCTCTAGTGTGGATGATATTATTGTTGTGGAAGAGCAGCTTGAATACACTATTGATCCCTCGGTTCAATCCATTTTGGATAATGAAAATGCCATTGATTCTACAACTACGAATGACAATGTCAATGAAAGTGTGGATTTGAACAAAAACAAGGGCGTTGTCCCTCATGAGTCAAGTGTGATTGCCGCGGAATTAGGTGACAAACCTATTGTTGATGCTGCGGCATTGGTAGATAAACCCGAGGGCTCACATAGACCTCATTCCAAATGGGGGCAACCTGGTTCCACCCCCTCTTTTGTCTCACTCTTCAAAGATAATAGACAACCGGACAAAGGCATGAAGCTACGATATATTGAACCAAAAGGGGATATCATTGATCTCACTAACCGAAAGATGTCTTCCATGGTTGAGATATGGGGATTTTGTTTAATGGCTTACTTTGATGGACGCTTTCCTGGGCTCAAAAACATACATGATATGGTACACAAATGGGGGGTAACTTGCCGTGTAAGATCACATGATAGAGGGTGGGTGATATTCAAATTCCAAAATGAGGATGATAGAGCCAAGGTACTCATGGAGGGCCCCTACTCTCTTCTTGGAAAAATTGTCCACCTCAAAGCTCTATCCGAAGACTTCTCTATGAATGATGATGAGTTCTTGAAGGTGCCCATTTGGGTTCTTTTCCCCCATTTACCCATGAGAATTTGGGAAGAAGAAATAATTAGCGAGGTAGCATCTAGAGTGGGAACTCCTATCACCACGGATAGAGTTACACTTGAAAGGGCTAGATCATCATTTGCAAGGGTCCTTATTGAGGTGGATGCCTCTAAACCGCCCCCTCTTTACTTTCAAAACAAGCTGCCAAATGGGAGGTTGCACACCCAAAGAGTGAGGTATGAAACATTCCCTAATTATTGCTTTCATTGTAAATGTTTTGGCCACCATTGTTTCACTTGCAAGGTTATAGCCGAAATAGAAAGGAAAGAGGAAGAAGCAAAAAAGGGGACAAGTGAGGATGCAATTGGCACCACAAAGGAGGATGAAGTATTGAACAATATTAACAAAGGCAAGCAAATTATGGAAGATAGTGTCCAAGTTCCGAGGACCACCAAACCTCCAACAAAAGAGCACCCCTTTTTTAAACTTATAAGAAATGTTAAGCATGG